AAAAAAAAAAAAAAAATGCACCACCAGTTATAAAGTAGATACTTCAGGGCAGATTGGGAAGTAGGACTTAGAAACAGAGATTTAAATGTGTATGTAAAGCTTTCCTTATGCATATAATTATTACATATATTTTAGGATATAAGTGGATGGTTGAGTTATGGGATTAATCCTTGGGTTTGTGATTACTTTATTAAGATTGGTTTATTCTGGCCCAGCATGGTGGCTGATGCTTGTAATCCAGCGCTCTGGGAGGGAGAGGCTGTGAGTAGCCTGAGCTCATGGGTTTGAGACTAGCCTGAGCAAGACTGAGACCTCCTCTCTAAAAGTAGCTGGGCATTGTGGTGGGCACCTGTAGTCCCAGCTGCTCGGGAGGCTGAGGCAAGAGGATCACTTGAGCCCAAGAGTTCGAGGTTACTGTGAGCTCTGATGCCAGGGCACTCTACCAAGGACAAGAAAGTGAGACTCTGTCCAAAAAAAAAAATTGGTTTATTCTGATAATCTTGATGTAAAGAGATCAGAATTACAGTATATGGCTCAGTGTCCATAGCTCTGTGGTTAGGGTGCCCACCACGTACACTGGGGCTGGCGGGTTCTCCCACTCCCCCAAGGCCTGCTAACCAGCAATGACACCTACACCAAAAAAATAGCCGGGTGTTGTGATGGGTGCCCGTAGTCCCAGCTACTTGGGAAGCTGAGGCAAGAGTTTGAGATTGTTGTGATGCCATGGCACTGTACTGAGGGCAACATAGAGAGACTCTGTCTCCAAAAAAAGAAAATACAGTGATTTTTTTGCAGTTTTTGGCCAGGATTGGGTTTGAACCAGCCACCTCCGGCATATGAGGCTGGCTCCCTACTCCTTTGAGCCATAGATGCCTCCGAGTATTTTTTTTTATATAACTTTATTCACATTAATATGAGGGTACAATATTTAGGTTACTTTGTTCTCACTTCCAGGGTAAAGTTCCATTTGTAGAAGAGCCCCACATCCAGGGGGCATGTTATACACCCTCACAATGTTATACACCCACACATTAGGTGAGATCCCTCCCTCTTTCTGCCATACATTCTTCCCCCCCCCGAAATGTAGTATATTTAACTATCTCATTGGATACTAGTTTTAGAGTTCAGTGGTTGAGCATTTATGTTTGTGAGAGTATGAATATAAAGCTTGGATTTAACAAATTTGCCTTTTTCTTCCTTTGTAGCCTCCAACTGGTACAGATACTATGGTCAAAGCTGGAGTTAGCACTAACATCAGTACCAAACATCAATGTATTACTGCTATGAAAGAATATGAAAGCAAGTCACTAGAGGTCGGTAAAATACAATACAGAGTATCAGCCTAACCTTTTGATTCTTTTGGAAAGCAGCTTTAAAAAATGTTTTTGGTTAGTTTATAGAATCAAGTGGTTCACCTTGGGTTTATGTAAAAAATTAACATTAACCAAATTGTTACTAAAAATTATGTATTTTTTAGACAGGGATCATATTCAGGTGTGTGTGTAGGTATAGTTCCTATAATGGTCTGTTGTCACTGAATTTTGCTTATACTGGGGTGGAGAGTGTGTGTGTGTGCATGCATGCACATGAATGTGTTTTGAATAAACTTATGAAAAGTCAAAAGAGTACAGCTTTTAATGTTTTAACTAAGTGAAAGGATCCAAATCACAGAGCATTATCAGGATTCTAAATGTTCCCCCTTGTGTACTGTTTCCCCGCCCCCAAAGTTACAGTCCTCCCCTTCCAAAGGTAACCACTGTTTTTACCGCCAACTTTTGCCCCCTTTTTTTTTGTCGTAGTTGTCGTTATTTGGCAGGCCTGGGCTGGATTCGAACCCTCTAGGTCTAGTGTATGTGGCTGGCACCCTACCCACTGAGCTATAGGTGCCAAGCTTTTTGCCCATTATTAAAACTTAATATAGACATAACGTTACATTAGCTACTCTTTTATGTTTGTCTTTTCTTTTTTTTTTTTTAAGAGACAGTCTCACTTTATTGCCCTTGGTAGAGTGCTGTGGTGTCACCTCCAACTCCTGGGCTTAGGCGATTCTTTTGCCTCAACCTCCTGAGTAACTGGGACTACAGGCGCCCACCACAACGCCCAGCTTTTTTTTTTTTTTTTGCAGTTTGGCTGGGGCTGGGTTTGAACCCACCACCCTTGGTATATGGGGCTGGTGTCCTACTCACTGAGCCACAGGCGCCACCCATATGTCTATCTTTTCAACATTAAGATAGTCATCTATGTTGTTACCTGAAGTTACAGTTTATTAATTTATTAGTTCTTAGTACCCTTTTTTTTTTTTTTAGAGCCTCAAGCTGTCCCCCTGGTTAGAGTGCTGTGCCATCATAGCTCACAGCAACCTCCAACTCCTGGGTTCAAGCGAGTTTCCTGCCTCAGCTTCCTGAGTAACTGGGACCACAGGTGCCCGCCACAGTGCCCGGCTATTTTTTGGTTCCAGTCGTCATTGTTGTTTGGTGGGGCCGGGCTGGATTTGAACCCGCCACCTTAGGTGTATAGGTCTGGTGCCTTAGCCACTTGAGCCATAGGTGCTGAGCCAGTACTTTTTTTTTTTTTTTTTGAGACAGAATCTTTCCTTGGTTGCCCTTGGTAGAGTGCTGTGGCTTTACAGCTCAGAGCAACTTCAAACTCTTGGGCTCAAGCAATTCTCTTGTCTCAGCCTGCCAAGTACCTGGGACTACAGGTACTTGCCATAATGCCCAGCTATTTTTAGAGATGAGGTCTTACTCTGGCTCAGGGTGGTCTCAAACCTGTGAGCTCAGGCAATCCACCCATCTCCATCTCCCAGAGTATTAGGATTACAGGTGTGAGGCACCACGCCTGGCATCAGTGCTCTTGATCAGATTGTTGTACATTTTGACTGTCCTGATTGTAGTAGTTGCTTCATCCTACAACACAGACTGCTTGCTCTACTGGTGGAATGTGCAGAAACACTTTGACTTGAGACAATACTGTTAAATTTTATTCCTTTTCCCCCTAAGTTTTCTTTTTATTGGGACAGTGCCTCAAGCTGTCACCCTGGGTAGAGTGCCCTCTGTCATCTTAGCTCACTGCAACCTCCCCAAGCAATACTCTTTTTTTTTTTTCTTCTGGTTTTAGTTAGAGATGGGTTTCTCACTCTTGCTCAGGCTGATCTTGAACTACTGAACTCAAGTAATCCACGTGCCTCAGCCTCCCAGATTGCTAGGATTACAGGTGTCAGCCACTGTGCCTAGTTTTTCCCTGAGTTTTCTGAACCCCTTGGACTCTTTCCTCTTTTATTTAATTTTAATTTTTTTTTTTTTTTGAGACAGTCTCACTATGTCGCCCTTGATAGAGTGCCCACACTTCACAGCAACCTCAAACTCTTGGGCTTAAGTGATTCTCTTGCCTCAGCCTCCTAAGTAACTGGGTCTACAGGTTCCTGCCACAACGCCCAGCTATTATTTGTTGCATTTGTCATTGTTTAGCTGACCTGGGCTCGGTTCGAACCCACCAGCCTCCGTACTTATGGCTGGTGCCACAACCACTGTGCTATGGGCACTGAGCTGCTTTTTCCTTTTTTAATCAATAAATTTTTACACTTAGATGGAGGCATAGAAGATTACTATATAGGATTTTAATATTATTTGGAAAAGAAAATCATTATTATTATTTTTGAGACAGTCTCACTTTGTCCCCCTGGGTAGAGTGCTATGGCATCATCATAGCTCACATTAACCTCAAACTGGTGGGTTCCAGAAATTCTCTTGCCTTAGCCTCCCAAGTAGCTGGGACTATAGGCTCCTGCCACAATGTTCAGCTAGTTTTTTAGTAGAGATGCGGTCTCAGTCTTGCTCAGGGTGATCTTAAACTCTTGAGTTCAGGTGATCTACTGGCCTCAGCCTACCAAAGTGCTAGGATTACAGGTGTGAACCACTGGTCCCAGCCAAAACAAAAACAAAAAAGGGAAAATTAAAATTAAAACATGGACTTGGTGCCTGTGGTTACGGCACCAGCCACATACACCAAGGCTAGTGGGTTTGAACCAGGCCAGGGCCAACTGCAACAAAAAAATAGCCAGACATTGTGGCAGGTACCTGTAGTCCTACCTACTGGGAGGCTGAGGCAAGAGAATCACTTAAGCCCAGGAGTTTAAGGTTACTGTTAGCTATGATGCCACAGCATTCTACTGAGGGTGACATATGGAAACTCTGTCTCAAAAAAAATAAATAATAAGGGGTGGCGCCTATAGTGCAAAAGGAGTAGGGCACCGGCCCCATATATCGGAAGTAGCGGGTTCAAACCCAGCCCTGGCCAAAAAAAACACCCCCCTGCAAAATAAATAAATACATAAATAAAAATAAAGTTAAGACATGGTTAGCTCTTTAGCCTACAGTTTTATGATAGTCATGGTATAGATTTTAATATCAATAGGAAATGTTTTTCTTTAATGATAGTAAGTTAATGCCTTTCTATTGTTTTCTTTGTTGTACCTATATGAACTTGAATACAAAATTCCAGTATTTAATCCCTTAAGTAACTATTTTTGTCTGCTTATTACTTCTGAAAATTTGTTTTCCTTCATTCAGGAGCTTCGTTTAGAGGATTATCAGGCTAACCGGAAAGGCCCTCAGAACCAGGTGGGATCAGGTACCACAGCTGGCTTGTTTGGGTCTTCTCCAGCCACTTCCAGTGCTACAGGACTCTTCAGCTCCTCTACCACTAATTCAGGCTTTGCATATGGTCAGAACAAAACTGCTTTTGGAACTAGTAAGCACTTGATATCATATTGGGTCAAGTTGAGGATAGTCACATATAGTCACATAACTAAAGTTAAAACACAATTGTAAAAAATGATAAGTGCTGTTGAAAAAAATAATTCCGGTAATACTGGATGAATTGAGAGTACGTGGTATGTGGGGATAGGAAGAAATACAGTGTAAAATGAAGGTGATTAAAGAAGGCTTCACTTGATAAGGTGGTATTTTAAGTAGTGACCTATCCAAAGAAGATGAAAGGAGCAAGTTGTATAGATGTCTAGGGGAAGAGCATTCCAGTTACTGAAAAGTATAAGTCTGAAAACTCTAAAGTTTTCACCAAAGAGGAGAGGGCATTGGAATTTACTGGAGGATATGGGGATCATATTTCATAGGACTTTGTGGGCCAGTATCAAGACTTGAAATTTTTTTTTTTTTT